CAGGAAAATAGTTGTTACAATTACGCCCCATTTAATTCGTAAAAAAATTTCAATGAAAAATTAGTCTTCAAGAAAAACAATGTTCAAACAAAAACACAATTGTAAATTAGTTTTCCTTTGTTTGGTTACGTACAAGAAAAGTTAATGAAAAATTAAAAATAGGAGTGAGAATGTGAGGATGGATGAGAGAAAAGTAAAACGGAGGTAAGGAGAAGGGAGGAAAATATAGCTTCCCTTGTTTTGTAAAGGAAAATGTTTTCCATCATTAAGGATGCAATTTAATTTCCACCGTTGGGAAAATTATTTTTCACTCCTTCATAAACCAAACAAAAGGGAAATGGGAAAAAAATAGGAATATCATTTTATGAAAACATCTTACATTAAACCAAACAGGCGAGCCTAAATAAAATAAAATTTCTTTCTCTAAAAATTCTCTGTGCCTTCACTCATCTTCCTCTTTAATTAAAGCCCACAAAGGACAAACCCTTGTAGAGTTCGCCGATCTCTAGGTATCGTCGAGTCCAACTTTCAGTGAGCCTCCGATAACTAAAGGTTTTGTTCACTTGAGAAGCATAAGCACGTGAAGTTTTGGGTTGTTTTCCTCACCCAGAAGGAGTTGTGGTTGCAGATCTGATTATTCGAAACGTTGTCAAAGACATAGGGTATTGGGATTTCACTACCGCTGCACCGACGTAAAGGAGGTCGCAACGAAATTTTGGTGAAGGTAGGATTAGGGTTTCGTACATCTCTTGTGTTTGGCCGCGAAATCTCTAACTTTTGTCATTAAGTTTTGGTCATTCTTTTTCCATCCTTTTTTATTTTACGTTTAATAGTCTTGGTGTCTTTTTGAGATCGAATCAGTATATAGCAATAACTGTGTGTTCTATACTTTACTGTTCATTTTCCAAGCTCAATGAAAAATGGAATGAAAGCCAACAAATCAAAGGTAATATTCGGTATCTCCTGAAGCATGTTCGAAGGCAAATCTTAGGAGTTTTAAAACTAGCTGTTTTTTGTAAGTAAGTTGTATTGTAGTACATATAAGGTGTAATCTTTGTAACATTAAAGCTAGTAATTTAAGCCTTCTTTGAGTAGTTTAGTGAACTTAAAACGTAGTTTGTAATACTTTATTTCCGTTTATAAGTACATGTAAAAAACAATGCCATGTGTCCTTCCCAACTTTTGTATTTCCATTTTTTTTATCTTTTACTTTCTCTTAAATAACCAACATGCATAAAATTTGTCAAAAAAAAATAAAAAAAAATCCTTCTATTTTTGGCAAAAGAAAATCCGATTGGGAATTTTTTTATTGAAGACAACCCAGTGCCTCTAATTCACTAAATTAGCCTCTAATTTCTTCTAATCATCCTCTAACTCTCACTTAACCATTTAATATTTATAATAAAAATAAAAAAATAAAAAATAAAATAAAAACAAAAACAAAAACTACCACCCCCACCACTAGCCAATCACCCCCTCCGTTTCCCCCCGGCAGCAGCCCCCCTCCCTTTCCTCCTCTCCTAGCCCCCCCTCCCCCAACTGAGCCACCGCCTTGAACCCTCCTACCCTCGGTGACCTACTTCCACTGCCGACTAACCCTCCCTTTCCCCCTTATCCCCGCCATCAACCACCACCTTCCTTCAAAGTAAACAAGTAAGAGAAAACAATTTTCAATTTTTGGCTCTAATTTATTCAAACATGCTCAAACCAAGTCCAATGCAATTTGCTTCTAAATCACCCTAGCAACATCACATACATACATAATCAAAGCCAAAAAAAGCATCAATTGCAAGCAAGATGCACAAAATTGAAAACCCCAAATCGATTTTTTAGGGTTTTTGGACAAAATAATCGGAAAATTCGAGCAAATAATAAGATAAAATTGGAGCAAAAGTACATTGATTGTGTGGGAGAAATTGATTTGAAGCTTCTAAGAAGATCCTTGCAAATATTGGTAGTGAGTTTGAGAGTATTTTAGGGAGAAAAGAGAGTAAGAAGGTCGAAGGGAGGTGGTGGTCGCTGGCGGAGATATGGGGGAAAGGGAGAGTCGGTCGGCAGTGGAGGTTAGTCGCCAGGGTGGGGGGATGAGGGTGGCGGGTCCGATGGGAGGGGTTGCTGCCAGGTAAGGGGAAGAGGAGGGGGTGGTTGCTGGTGGTTGGGGGGTACGGTGGTGATTTTTTTTATTAATTAAATTTAATTATTAAATAATTAGGTGTGTTAGAGGGTAATTAGAATAAATGGGAGAAAATTATAGAGTAACTAGATTAGTGTCTGTGCGATGCAGAGTAGTAATAGTCTTTTTTTTTACACAAGTAATAATCTTTTTCCCATAATTAATTGTGATATAATATAAAAATGAGGCAACTCATATGGAATAAATGAATGCAATGCAAATAGAAAAGTAATAATAAGGAAAAAAAATTTAAAATTACTATTGAGAAAAAAAAAAATTATTGTTGATTAGTTGTATTGTAATTATTTAAAAGTAATATACATTATATTACGTTATTGATAATGCATATTATTCCTAATAAAACTATACAATCTAGTGACTATATGACTAAAGACTTATTTATAAATGACCTTTAATAAACATGAAAATATTAATCAAATAACAGAATAAAATCTACAGTAAGACTACTAGCACTACATACATGTAAATATATAAATTACAAATAATATATCATCTTTATTTCTAATAAAATAATTTCAATAAAATAAATACTACTCAGACCATTAAAGACAAAAATAATCCACAATTAGGCAACACTAACCTATATTATTAATAGTACATTTTCTGTTTATGAATTGATGCTCTACATGAACATGATATCGTCGCTCTTTGTTATTATATAAAATTGTGTTTGAAGCTATCCAATAATTATTTTTGTTTATTGCCTTAAAAGTTTATTTGTAGATTATAGCTATTTATCGAAAAAAAAGGATACACAAGAAGATGTCACTTGTCACTACGTCCGACATATCCTTTACTAGGTAACTTATTTATAATGTCGAATGTAATAAATTTATTATATCAATCAGATATTTCAGCAAAAGAGAATAATTTTTTTTTTTTTGTGTATTTACTAAGATATTAATTTATTTAATCACGTAATAACAAAAAATTGATTGATATTTTCCTAGAATTAGACTTATGATATAGCTGTCGAACACAACATTTATTTCATAGTCATATTTAATACTCCATTAGTCTAAGAAACAAAATATTAGTGGTATTTGAAAAAAAAAAAATTAAAGTGATGTTTTATAAGTAATTTCTTTAATATCAATTATATGAATCAATTTTATTATTACTTTTTGGGAAAAATTCAATAATACTTCGTCTAAAAGATGTTCAGGCGGTAATGATTGTATCTTGTATCTGAACCAGTGGCTCACTTTTTCTATAATTTAAAAAGAGTTGGAATACATTTACGGTAAATGTGTATGGAAGAATTAAGAACACGAAATAAAAAGAAATACATTTTATGTAAAGATAATACATAAGATTTGGAATAATGTTATTAAAGTTGTATTATACAAATATTCTAAAAATAAAAGATTTTTGGCCAAAAGGGGAGGGGGAGTTTTGGAGGGAAAAAATAGCACCAGGAAGTGACACGTGTCATTCCTGGTGTCTGTTTTAGTATTATGTTATTGATTAAGTAAATTAGATGGTAATTAAGTAAACAGCTTTCCTCTAGCAAAAAAAATGAACGTGGTGGTTTTATTTAACCAAGAAGCTTTTAAAAGGGTTTTTTATTTTTATTTTATTTTTTTATTTTTTTGAAAAATGGTGCTATTAAAAGGTTTTTCTGATAAATTTTCCTTTTTTTTCATTTCCCCACCTGAGAATGAGGAAAGATGATTCTATGATAGTCATCCTTGAAATTATATTACCATTATACTAATTTTTTTTATTAACTAATTTTGATTTATTTTCTGATGTCAAAATTGATTCTAAATAATTTATATTATTTTTGAAATTTATTGATTAATTTTGAAATAATTTTTGAATTTTTTTTTTTATAATTTTCCTAATTAATTTTCAAAATTCAGTTTTTATTAATACTAAAATTAAAAATTAATTATTAATAGATTTTTCAAGTCTGCTTGGGATATTGTTAGGGAAGAGGTTACTACTGGTGTGCTGGATTTCTTCAGAACTAGTAAGATGCTAAGGCAGATTAATTGCACTACTCTCACTCTCATCCCAAGGTGGATCAGGCAACCAAGGTCACCCAATATATAGAGTAATTCCATGCTGCAATGTGGTTTGTAAAATCATTTCAAGAATGATTTGCAGTAGGTTAAAGGTGGTAACTTACCTCAAATGGGGATTTTAGATGTTAGTATCTCCTGGAGAATATCCTGACTTGGATTGGTCATGGTAACTTACCTCAAATGGGGATTTTAGCAGCATGGAAGGAATGGGGAAAAAGATTTAAAGCAGGGAAGCAGATGAAGGTTGGGTTTGCTATTTTGACTACGCTGGTGTACAACATCTGGTATGCAAGGAATAATGCATTCTGATCAAAGGCTGTCTATTCTCCTGAGAGGGTTGTGAAGAGGATTAAAGCTGAAGTTTGCCTTAGAACTCAGCGTTTAACTGATAGAAAATGGACCATAACTGATTGTAAATGGTTTTATAACTTGAAGAGTTCTGTACAGTAGTATAGCTGACTAGCTTTGTTTTTGGGGTTGGGCTGGTTTGAGTGGAGTTTGTTTCTTGGGGAGTAGTTGTGTTTTGGGGTTGTTTCTGTCCGATTCTTTGTGGTCGGATTTTGGGGATTCTCTAAGGGAACTCCTATTTTTGTGGTACATATTTTGCTCTTTGGTTTAATATATTACTTACCCAAAAAAAAAAAAAAAATAAATAAATAAAAAAAAATAAAGATTAAATTAATTATAAAAAAATAAAAAAAATAAAGATAATCTAAAAAAAATGTGAATTTACATTTATAATTAAGTTTAACATAAAAACTAAATAAAAAATCAGCCAATAATAAATTAGTATAATGGTAGTTATTCTTAAGGATGACTAGCATAGAATTTTCAGAGAAGGAGAATGGTTTCCTAATGTTTTCTTTCTTCTTATTAACAAAAAAAACACCGGGCTCAAGTTTTATTTACAGAAAAGAGTCAGGCAACAACACACACAAAGGCTTTAATGCATTAAGCACTAGTGGATTAGTTTAGATCCTACAAAAGCATGGCAATTACAAGAGAGTTTGGATGAATGTTACAGATCAGTATTTTATATAGCCTGAATCCTTCAACCACGGGAGCATCTCTTCTAAGCCTTCCTTCAAGCTTCTTGGGTTGTAACCAAGCTCTTTCTTTGCTTTCCCACATGAATACGCCCATTGATGCCGCAGCACAGCTACTGTCTGCTCCAAATTTTAACCACTCAAACGTCAAAGGTGTACAATTTTCAGGCAAAAAAATAAAAATAAAGAAAGGGAATAAAAGGCTGGGAAATAAAACATGAAATTAGACCGAGATAGCAGAGCATTTATATAACTGCTATCACATAAACTACAATACAGTAACTTGACGAAGACAAGCAGCACCAAAAGAAGTCAGACCCATGAATCATATTCATTTTATGAACATGCAATTTATATGCCTTTATCTAAAAGTGACACTCTTCTAGATTAACATAGAAGTGACCTGATCATCATAGGTTATGCATTTAAATTTTACCAAACAGATGGAGAGAAATTAACCAACTACTGAGAGTCTGGGATTGGTAAAATACCGGGGGACTGAGCAACGGCAAATTTCCAGTAACCCGTGATATAAGTACCGAGATCCATCCATAAGCCTCTATCATCCACATGGGAAGACTCAAACGGGGCTTACTCGTGTTGGTAAGGATAGCTGCAGCATCAAAAACATACTTGAATGATGCGTTCTCTCCAGTAAGTAAATATCGTTCACCAGGACGACCTTTTTCCATAGCTGCTATGTGTCCCTCCACCACATCATCAACATGAGTAAAAGAATATTTGTCATATCCAGGCCCAATATGTCCAGGTAGCCGCCAATTAAAGCGTTCAATTAACTGACAGGAGAAAATAAAAGAAAAAGTTAGGTAAGTTGATGAAGGGAGAAACCATAATACAATGTATACCAGCAAAGATGAAGGTTAGAACAAGCACCAAGCCCAGCAAACAACAAATGTATTCTGAGTTGTTTGACATAAGATACCTAATACGCAGCAGCTCATGCAGTACTTCAATTACATTTCCTATTGTAAATAAGATAAAAGATTTCTATCAATTCCAATCTTCCATACTGTGTAGCCAAAGTGCCAAACTTTCAGAACACCAAATTTTGGAAATAATTCAATCACGTCATTTTCTCAGTACAAATGATAAGTCACTTGCTACTATAGAATAAAGACTTGGGATATCCAAAATAGTAACACAATTCCATCAACAATCCTGTAATAGTAAAACCTCATCAACAGACCAACATATGGTGTAACAATGAGCATCATTACAGCCATGATTCCTCATCAAACTGCCAAAAGGACATATTTTCAGAGAAACAACATATATGATTGTATTCAATTACACTGTAATTGTCACAACCCCTTAGGACCCAACTGCCACTACGGATTTGAGAATGAAGATAATTGTCAATGCAAATATTAATGTGATTATTTCAACTATCTTCAGTATAATCCATGGAATGATCATTATAAGTATTGCCACTCTTAGATCTAGAATTCAGATAACTTGAATTCCAATAATTCAAAAAGAAACTTTGCAGTTCACCCTTAAAAAACCGACCGTTGTCATTCTCACAAATTTGGTTTACAATATCATACATACGGAATTACTGTCCTCTTTACTATCTATAAGTGAGAAATATTATCAGAGATGAAATTCCGAATGACACAAGCTAAATGATCAACATTACTGTAACTACTACAACGGTCATTATTTCCCCAACTACGAAAGTTTCTTTCCTGTATCATTTACGTTCAGTAGGTTGTCATAAAAAACAGTGATATTGATAGACACAGGCTTAGGATCTACAACTGCTAAATTGCTTCCAAGCAATCTGAACTAAACATAATATTGAAGCCTTTTTTATAAAAAATTAAAAAAATCTTGAAGCACTAATATTAAGATTGGTATAATGATTAATACCAAAATTTAGCTATTGTATGCAATTTTATTTTCCAATGTTAAATTTCATTTTGTGAATGATAATGATAATAATTTATAAACACCTAAGCCTGTTCACAAGCTTTTGAGCCGAGACAAGGATAGCTTAGGCTTGACTCGTGAAGATCTCCAGCCTTGCTTGAGCCGATTTTTGACCAAGCTGAGCATTGAGAAGTTCACAAGTAACCTTGGCTCGTGAACAACCCTAAATACAGCGGCCTACAGGGCAGACATTACAGAACATACAATATGTATGATTGTATCCAATTAAGCATAGCAGGTTGGCATAAAAATCAATGTTGCGATCATATTTTATGGCTTTGGTCAGAATTTAAGAACTGGCAAGAAATTTGTTCAAAATAAATTAAAATAATATAAGGTTGATGTTCATGCACGTATCAAATATTCACAATCAAAAACAACTAATAGTATAATCTACAGGAACCTAATTTGTTCCTAGTACCTATTTGATATATCTAATTCAGACACATAAACTGCTAACTTTCATACGATATGCTGATATATTTGGCTCCACACCCCTAAACCATGATCAACAGTTTTACGTGGTCAACCATTAGAAGTAATTAGATGCTATCAACCCAACGCCCCACCCCCCCCCCCCCCCCTCCTCACCACACACACACACACACTCTCAGAAAGTAAAACTTATCAAAGTAAGGATAATTTCAACAAGAGTCAGCGAAACATTGGAAAACTACGCAAATGGTCACACATTACTGCAGCCACAAGAATATAAGAGCAATAACCAGCAGTTGCAAGACCTAAATCCAAGTTGATCAATGACGCATTAGCATACACAAAAATCTAGTGATGAGAAGAGTGGAAGAGTGGGACCATGGAGGGGTTAAACGACCGAGAGGGAGACCGGAAATGACTTGGTTGGAAGAAGTTAGGAAGGATATGAAGTATATGGATTTGCATGAGGATGAGGCATTGGATCGTAAGGGATGGAGGAGGAAGATTTTTGTCGATGACTACACGGAATAATCAAATTTGGTTCATGTAGCCAACCCGACTTATGGGATTAAGGCTTTGATTGATTGATTGATAAACATTTCATCATTCAATATCTTTAACTTTTCTCACTCACCAATTTAGCTACAACATTTCCAGCCGTAAGCTTGCCAGAACCATAGATAACTCCTGGATAGACTGCAACAATTGGAACTTCCTCTGATGCAGCTTGTAATGCTATCTTATCAGCCGCTACCTTTGACCTCTCATAATCTGTACAATAGAACTTCTCATGGTGTACCTACAAATTAAATAAACAATTTCTATTTCGCTTAAAACCCAAGATTACAAAACTTTTAAGTGAAATTCACACATATACAACTACTGAACTATACATCAAAATTTTCACAGAATGTACCCATAAATTGAATTTTCTCAATAACACTATATTTGTAACAAATTATTTCCATTCGAGTAACATTCATATATAGTCCATAGTAACAAATTCAATTGGTAATACAGTAATTTAAGTTCAACCCACATTGCAATAATTGAATTATAGGGACATTTCCGATTAGTTTCTTATAGTATCATTTAAGATATATCAACATTTGCGACTATATATATTCATCAAATGCTATTTTCCTTATTTTACGAAATTATTACAAAATTGTCAACTGTATGTATTCAATCAATATATTACAAAATACAATGCTATTTTCCTTATTTTACGAAATTATTACAAAATTGTCAACTGTATGTATTCAATCAATATATTACAAAATACTTTGTATATCCTTCACCTGATTCTCATCAGCAATGACACCACCATCAGTAGGTCCAAGAGCAAAAAACGACGACGTATAGATAATCTTCTGAACCGATTCACTTTCTTTACAAGCTTGAATCACATTCTTCAATCCACCAACATTAACCTACAAAAACAAAAATAATAATCAATTAAAAGTCAAACATCAAAAACACTTAAATCAATGAAAAAATACATTTACAGAATCAAAATTGAAAATAATTGAATGATAGTGTAAAATACAGTGAAGAATCGAGAAGGATCAGGAAGCCAAGGCTCAACGAGAGCGGCGGAGTGGATGACGATGTCGCAACCGGAAACGGCGGTGATGAGTGACACAAAGTCGGTTGTATCGCCGAAGGAAAGATCAAAGTGGGTAGATGAAGAGGTGGTGGGAAGGGAAGAGAGGTTGCTGGAATGGCGGACGAAAGCTCGGACTGAGTAGCCATTGTTGAGTAAGGCGTGGCAGAGTTTGCTGCCTAAGAAACCTGATGCACCTGTTACTAGTACTTTTTTCTCCTTCATTTTGTATGTATTTTCTTTGTTTTTCTTATTCTTTTGTTGGAATGAGTAATGGTCCTGATGGATAATGGGTTTGATCTTTGTATTGTTGTGTGGGTCAACACGAGAGTTGATATTGGTCAATTTACGTGTAGACTGAGTGTGGAGAGGGTAATGGGAATGTCATTACAAGAATTAATAAAGAGATCGGCTTGCTCAATTTTAGATATTTATACCAAACGTTCCCTTTTTATAAGGAAATTTGTGAGGAACTAAGTACGATTTGTTTACTTTCATAAATTGCTACAAGCAATTCGTAGTTTATTCAATGATTTGTGTTCAAAACATGGAACAATATATACTAAGGTAGTTCACGACTTAGAAGTATGACTATAGTATGCAATAACAGTTTTTAACAAGATTGTTATCCTATATAGAGCAATTTAGCGAAAAATGAAAAGATGAAGTCAATTAAAAAAATAATAAGGTGTTCTCTTTAGCAAGTTCAGCTAGAGTTAATGGTGGAGTTGACTTTTAGAATCGAGTGGGACTGGTTACACGAATCCTATAGGTGGTGGGAATCAACCAATCAAAGAGGTAATAGTGCTTTGTAAGTCCTAAAATGGAAAAACTCCCTTTGTTTCATAATTATTTTCTCATTTCGAACCTTTACGTAAATTAAGAAAGGGAAAGATTTAGGTGATGGCATTAAATGCAGGGGCGGTGCGATCGGTGCGGCTGCATAGGCCCCCAAATATAAGTGGCCCCAAAATCAGATATATATTTAATACTTAAGATTAATGTCTAGAATTATATTGGTAACTCATTGGTAAAGGCTATGTAATATAACGCAGAAATCCAAGTTCGGCTCTTGGGATCTAAATTTTTGTTTCTTTTTACTGTACAGCTATACCCAACTTATTTATTAAGAGTATTTTTTATTTTTTTGGTTGTACAATTGTTCTCCACTATTTTTTAACGTCTAGTTTCTTAATATGTCGTATTTTAGCAACGATCCAACAGTCACTTTTTATTTACTTATTCTCTATCTCCTCTTTATTTTCTCTCCCCTCTGCTTTGTTCTTTGCTCTAAGATCTAAACATTCAATTATCGATTATCGAAAATTTAATCAAAGATTTCTTTGCTTCAACTAAAAAATCATTGTCTTTCTCGTACTGTGGACTCTTGGTAAGTTTTAAACTATAGTGGGCTTGCATTGATGGCAATTGAAAGTGATCTTTTGCATGAAATTGGCGTTTGAAAGTGTCATAGATGAGTTTGTATTAAAACATGCAAGAAGAGCTACTCTTTTTAAATAAAAATGTAGGATTACATTTTATGTTACTTTGTAAACTGAAACTCATAATATATTCAAGTAAACTTTTATATTAGTTATTATTTCTATTGTTTCAAATCTTGAAAAAGGCCCCAATTTTTTGAAGTCGCACATGACCCCGTTAATCTTTGTCACACCCTTGATTAAATGTGGATGAAGATTCTATCCATGTGACTGGTTTTCATTTTCCCCTTTTTTATGTATTCTATTGTGTATTTGAATGAGCCAATCACGTTTGAGGATACAAAATATACGAGGTCTTTTAAAGGGAGGTTAGTGAAGTATGAGTAAATGCATAATGAGGGGCATGGGGGTCATTACTTGTAAATGCATATTCTGAATTTAGAGTAGTACCATTGAGTGATCAATAATATCACTAGATGATCAAATAGTACCATTAAACATTCAGTGGTACTATGTATGTATGTAGTGGTACTATATATTCATTCTGTGCTACTAACTACGTGTAGAAATAGTATCACTATATAGTCAATGGTATTATATAAGCTTTCAATGATACATTTACAGATGCATAACAAACCTGCATTAGTACTTCCTCCAAATTCAAATAAACACCAATTAGATTACACATTAGCTCCATTGTCATCAATTTTTCTAAAAAGTACTCTCTATGTCCCTATTTCTTTGTCATAGTCAAAATGTGCTTTATTAAAGATTGAACCAAAAAATTGCAAGTGAATGATGGTATATTTGTCTTTTTCACTTTTATGAGTGTATGCAAGTGAGTTTAGTGGTGGGGGTATGTTGTTGTGTTTGGAAAAAGGACAATATTTAAAGGACACCCCAAAATGGAATATGGGACAAACAAATAGGGACAGAGAGATTAAAAGAATTAGAGAGTACATCTAAATAAACAATGTCATCCTTTCTATCGTCGGAATAGACTCCTAATCAACTTGCTAAAATGCCCTAAATTTAATCAAACATACAAAAACAAAGGAAAGAAAAATTAAACGTGCATGAAAAGAAAAACCTCGAATTTCGGAAAAATTGTTGAGGGCTTTTGTAGAGTAACAGTTGATGGTGTAGGAAATTGAAAAACCAAGGAAAATATTATTAGTTTTGGCTTGGATTTGAAGAGCAAGAAAGTTTGAAATTTTCGTAATTTAGGTGAGAGTTTCTAAAATCTCGAAGTTCAAGTTAGAAAAATCATTTAATTAAGGTATAAATCTAAGTTTTGGCTTGGATTTGAATAGAGAGGAAGGGGATAAAGAAAGAGAGAGGATGGTGAAATAATGTGAGAAGTAAATTGGGTGCTGGGGGAGTTGAATGAGTGCGGCTTCGATCTTTTGACTGATGTAAAAGGGGTAAAATTGAGACAATAATACAAATAAGAGTAGGGAGATTTAATTTAGAATAGAAAAAATTGGTTTTAATAGTCCTAACTTTGGACCACTTTCTTTTGATAATCCTAATTTTCGACTATTTTAAAAATCCCAACTTTAGGGTGCATTTTCTTTCAATAGGTCAGATGACTAGTGACCTGATGAAAGTGATAGGTTTTTTTTTTAAAACAAGAACTTTGCTACATGTCGAATGGTAATTGATCCAAAAAAATAAAAAATAAAATAAAAAAGAAAAAAAAAACCCGACCACCTCCCATCACAGCCCTTCCCTCTTCAACTCCCTTCCCAACCCCACCGAAAACCACCTTCTCCCTCCCCAGCCCCACGAAAAACCACCCCCTTCCCTTGAAACCACCCAGAGGTCGCAGCCCCACCCTCCTTCCCTCAAAACCACCTGCAACCCCACCCCCTTCCCCCGAAACAACCATTTTAAATCTCCCTTCCCCCGAAACCACCGCAGCCCCTCCCTCCCCCTTCCCTTGAAACCACCCAGAGGCCGCAGCCCCACCCTCCTTCCCTCAAAACCACCTGCAACCCCACCCCCTTCCCCCGAAACAACCATTTTAAATCTCCCTTCCCCCGAAACCACCGCAGCCCCTCCCTCCTTCCCCCCCCCCCCCCCCCCCGAAAAGAAAACTGACTAAATGACTATCTAATTCTACATCTATCTCATGATTTCAACTGTTGCTCTCATAGCATATTTAATGTGAAACGCTAAACTAGAATGCTAGATGAAAGAACAAGTTAAAAATTGGCATGTTCAAACTAGAATACTAGATCATTTAAGTTTGAGGTTAAGAAATGTAACAAAATAAACTTCATAGTTACATTACAAAAACCGGCATTTACATGTATACGACAACACATAATTCTCATACTATTATTATAGTACTCAGAATACTGTAAATATTAAATAACATTTATCTTTTACATAAGTTATTACAGATGATTTATCTCTGAAATAGCTTCTGGAGGGAGTCGCACTTCACAAACCACTGTACATTCTTTATAGGGGTAATATAAACACCAAAGTGAAGGCGTGCTACATAGCCTGCCTATTGCTTCAATCAGAGAAACAAAACTTCCAGAATTTTTGCCCTTTGCATTCAGTTTCTCACTCGTTTCACTGCATTCATGTTGCAGTGAGCATTTGTTGTTAGGAGGAACATCTCACTCTTTCAAAATCTAAAACATTCTCCATCCCCGGCAAAAGGTCAGACATATAAATCATAACCTTGAACGCCGTATGCATTTCATGGGATTAAAATGCATGGAATGTCTTCTTGTTGGAAATGGTGAATGACGTAAAGAGCTTAGAGGCCCTACATCCCATTCTTCTACGTTCTTTGGGACACACACATCAAAGAGAATTTGGCCAAGAACCCCATTAGCATTGATCCTTGGTGGGCTGGGTAGGCGAACAAGGCCAGGCTTCTCATCTTGGACTGATCCAACAGCTCCACCCCCATGATACTCAAATGAGCTTTTGGGCACAACGGGCTGTTCTGCCAGCTCAATTGAGAATTTCTTAAAAATGTCACTTGAGCTGGCCGCGGCAGTCCTTAGGTCCCTAAATGGTTCAGAAATCTCATCACAGGTACCCTCAAAACCCATAGTCCCTCCTTCGAGCCTCTGTATCCTTTGTGATTGGATGGCTGAAGCCTTTCTCAATAACTCAGTCACAGCACCCTTGTAATCAACTGAATGCTGTCGATAATGACCTGCAATTACAGAATTAAAGCTAAGCTTTAGCCACTATACCTCTGTTCATAATGTTTTACAATCAGGTGTGTCCAGAAAATGGATATTGCAGTTTTTTATGGCAAGGACTGATGAGATCCATAAATTACACACAGGTCCTTTACTATATGCATTTTACATTCAAGAGTATGCAATTGCATAGATGGAGTAACGTTCAGCATTTCATACTTCTAAAGCAAATGACTCATAGTACATCAATCCTAGAAGCACACACTTTGTGTTATGATAATGCAATTGCAGCAGCTGCAAACAGAACACTAGACAAATCAAATTTGCACTTTAACTCCCAACCAATCCAATTAGCACTAGTCAACTAGCAGAACACACCTTCCCGTTGCGTTTATTTAAAGCAGAAGTCATCTCCTGCAATCCAGTTAGCAACTTCTCTTGTGAGAGAGAAAAGTACATCTGATTGGAGATAGTAGATAAATTACTGAGTGAAAATGTAGAAATGATAAGAGATACGGAATAGCAGATAATACTATATCATGGAACAAGAGAAAGGTAGGGCGAAATAAGACTGGTGTCGTCACATGTCTGAATGTGATGCAATATCTAAAATAAGAGTATAATAAAATGTGGGATTCCTCAACAAAGAAAGCATGCAATATTGTGGGACGGAGGGAGTATTTCTTTTGTGTTTATGAGATTATAGATTAAAAGATGTACCGCGATACCGTTAAAAGGTATATAAAATGATGGGCTAGAGTGGCATGGGTCCACCTTGATCCTGCAGGAGTTAGCAAAAGCTTCACGACATGCAAAGAATTCTTGCTTCATCAGTGTTTCATGTAGAGACCAGAGAAGTGATGTAAGAAGTTTAATGGGCAAAGACGTGAAATTATAAGGAAGCCT